AAAACATAGTGTACATGCTTGAAGCATGGGACAACTATTGTTTTAAATTCAAGAATAAAGTTGATAGCTGAAACAATATACAATGAATAATGTGTAATCATATTGTGATAAATAAAAGGTGTTTTATTTATGTTCATAGGTTTTGATACCATATTGGATTCAATTATTATTGTGTTTCACTTTGCATGTTTTAACTTCCAGAATAACTAGATCATTGTTCTGGATGACTAAGTTATTCAAACCATCCACAGTCGGTTATATGTTGGAAGTAGATATGAATTAAGACTGTTATTGGTTGGCTTGTAGAGGTCTAAGATGTTGGACAAAGGGCTACAACACTCATGAGTGCTCATAAGTTCTGAGTATTGGATTCAACCCGCGCTCATTGGAATCACTTCATCGATTTTATCACGAGTGATCATGAGACGATAATATCTTATATTCTTCAAACCTAGAGATATGAGTTGTTACTATGAGTTGGTTGTACATTGATTGCACGAAAACGCATTGGATAACTCGATGTTATAAAACATGCCTTTGTGTATGATTCAACAAGTAGTAGAAGAAGCCATATGAGTCAAAGTTTATCCATTCCTTTTACCTTCGGGATAAAAGCGATATATATGGGCCCCTCGATGATTTGGTGATGACAAATGTAAGTGCTCGGCTAGGCGAGGACTGATTTGATTTGTTCAATTAGTCAGTCGTCATAAATCGAAAATCGGGAAACAACAAATAGACAGAGAAAATGATTATAATCCATATCTCAATCCATATGATATCTAGAATGGAGGAATATATGATCCCTTATCTAATGGACAAGTCATTGATAAAGGTCAGAGTTCATCTACAAGGTCAGAGTTCGACAGAAGCTTTTGAGAGCTACAATTGTCAGTCGGTTCTTGAAGTCATACGCAATGATAGTTTTAAACTTATCCAAGTGGGAGACTGTTGAATTAATGTCTAAGTCCATAACTATAATTGGTGAGACTTGACCTGATCCAGTATGGTCCATTTGGATTGCATGGCATCATGCATTTGGAAAGACTATAATGAGAGAAATAACACTTAAGGTTGGTTAATATATTATAAGTTCTAATATATTAATAAGGTTATTTAATTAGTATTGATCAAGAATTAATTTGGAATTAATTAAGTGATCAAATGGAGACTAATTAAATATATGAGTTGTGTAAATCATTCATTTTTATATATGTGGGCTTGTGATCCAAGATTCCTTATGTTGAACTAAGTCCATGGGGTGACCCATGGATACTCCATGGAGGTTTAAATCCATGGAGCATAAGGAATGGGTAAAGTTATGAGTTACATGGTGTAACCCTAATAGCCACCATATAAAAGAATCTCATGGCTCAAGAAACCGGCCAATATGTGTAATAGAAAGGGCTAGCCGATTTATTGAAGTGTGTATATTCTCTCAAGTCATTCCATGTGTATTTGGTGTTATGTGAACCATTCGAGGTGTCACACTTGGGGCACTAGACACTCAAGCTTCATGAAGACAATCTACATCAAAGAGGTATGTAATTCTAACTTGATATATTCATTTGAATCAGTGTTATTATGCTAGTTAGGATGAATACCTTGGAAAGTTCATATTTACATGTATAATAGAAAAAACATAGATTCAAGGTATTTAGGATTACATGTACACCTAGAAGTGTTAAAATGCTCAAATCCCAACAACTATATGATGTCAAATCAACGTAATAACCGATTAAATATAATTTTTTGTCGCATTAATATTATCACCAATAAAGTTGGTGACATAAAATTGGAAAACGATTAGAAACCAAAGAATTGCAAGTGTGACAATTTATCGTACAAAAGTACAATTAACCCTGAAAAAATTATGTTGTGGGGTTTATAAAAAAAGTTAAAACAAAAGGATGTCTTAAAGATTGTCATGTGATAGAGTGATGAAGAAGTTATTATTGGCATTTGTTTGTTAAACCCACGAAAGCAATTCAAAACCCTTGGGTATCATGTGAATTTGAATTTTCTTATTTTATAGAATTCACCCATTTTAAATTTTAGTTTTTATAGTATAAATATAATTAATTTTTAAGATATCCAAAACATTAGATTATAAATCTATAAAATAATATCTTTCAGCCCAACAAATAGGAAGAATCAAAGAAAAGAATGAAGAAAGTATTTTGACCAGGGGCAGTGGTCAGAGTTTCAAGGATTCTCATGTTTGACTAAAATTCATCATCAAAAACTGAAATGAGAGAAGCCATCAACAGAAGAAAATATTGTATTTAAATTTTTAAGTAGTATCTTTATATGACGAAATTAAAGACGAATAAAATTGCGTATGTTATTGAAAATTTGAAACTAAAAAAGATTTATAAATGTTTTGTTTGATGAGAATGAATGAAATATTCCTCATGCAATATGATTCCCTCCATGTTTACTTTCATTCAGGTTAAGATTATGTTTGGCATATTAGCTGAAAAGCTGGCTGTTAGCTGATAGCTGAAAAGCTAACTGATAAAAAATAACGTTTGGTAAACCTAGCAGAAATATATAAAATTATATAAAAGGACATGTAAAAATATGTGTTTCTATAATTAATTAAGGGGTGTATTTGAAAAAAAATTTAAAAAAATCTTAAAAAGCTAGTCTAAGGCTGTGTTTGGCACGCCACAGCTAGCTGATAAGCTAGCTTATTTTTCGAGCTTTTTTATGTTATCATATTTGGTAAGCAAAAAAATAGCTTATAAGCTTGCGTTTTGAAAAGCTACTTAGACTAGCTTTTTATGAGCTTTTTAAAAATTTTTCAAATACACTCCTTAATGAATTATAGAAACACATATTCTTACATACCCTTTTATGTAATTTTATATATTTCAGCTAGCTTTTCAACTAGTTTTACTAAACGTTATTTTTTATCAACTATCGGCTAGCTTTTTATTTAACAGCTAGTTTTTCAGTTATCAACTAGCTTTTCAGCTAGTACACCTAAATAACTTTTCAAAAAACTAGCTTATAAGCTACTTTTTAGCTTACCAAACACGATAACATAAAAAAAACTCAAAAAATAAGCTAGCTTATCAGCTAGCTGTGGCGCGCCAAACATAGCCTAAATGTTTTCCATTAATTCTTGGATTGGGATGAACATTTTTAATATAACCAATTTTAATTTTTTTAAGATTTCATAATATTAATTAAATCATAGTTTTTTCTAAAATAAAAACCATACGTTATTTGGATTTTAGTAAATTCTATAAGCATTCTTTTTTCTTAAATAAAATTTTAATTAATTACTTGTAGTTGGATTGTAGACATGTCCGTGACACACCTTTTAAAAGGGGTACTATTCTTATAAGAAAAAGCTCGAAAAATAAAAGTTTAATTCATCAGTAGAAATTCGTAATTTTTATCTTAACCAAAAAAAACTTCAAATCCATAAATTATTTCTAATCGAACAATCATACACAAATAAAAGTCACTTCCCCTACCATCTTTCAGCAAGTTTTGTCAAATCTACCTGCATTCAATATTTACATATACAAAAAAATCAATATAAAGATTCACTCCTTTGTCACAAACCAAGTAAACATGAAACAACTTCCAGTTATTTTTACCAAACATTTTTCCACAAAATAACATAAATAGCTTCAATCTAGTTTTAACAAACATATCCACATCAATAATACATAAATTTCATAGCATTACTTATTTTCATGACAAAATTGCAAGAATGGTCCCTGCGGTATGTCAAAACTAGCTACTTTGGTCCAAAATGGGTTTGGCTCGCAAGGATAGTCCAAAAGTTTCGTTTTGTTGCGAGTTTAGTCCAATTTCTTATGAACTTTTTTATAATGACGAATTTGTCCCTTATTATTTTATTTTCCATTTTTCTTTTATTACAACAATTAAAGATAAAACAAAAATAAAATCTCTCTCTCTCTCTCTCTCTCTCTCTCTCTCTCTTCATTGCCGCCCCCACATCTTTATTGTATTCCTCCTCTTAATGATATGTAGAAAAAAGAAACCCTAACTCTAATCTTCATTGTCGGCCCCCATTAATCTGTATCTCAATAAGATCAAATGGTTTTCAGACAACCTTCTAAGTGTGAGAGGGGAGAACCCTAATTATTGCTCCAGCTATGAAACGAGGGTTTGCAAATGGGGGTTTCAGATCTGCCGCCTCGTGAGTATCGACGAGCTTCGTTTTTACAGAGCAAAACACAATGATGATGACCAAACCGCCGGAAACCCTGACGTTGCCTTGGTCTATTACTGCCTATTGACGCCATTACAGACCCTAACGAGGCCACTGCAACAAAGGAAAGGCCACTGGAAACACCGACTGCCACCCCTCTTCACCACCGTGTGTAACCGTCCCCATCGTCTATCGAATTTCCTGGCTCCGTCAAATGACCCTCAGGTGAGCTTCAATCGAGTTTGAAGAAGGAAAGGAGGATACCCTATAATTTTCACAAGTTACCGTCATTCTCGTTTCATGAAATCTTAGGGTTTTTCAGAGGCCGCCGTTGCTTGAAACTTTTCGGGTTAGGGTTTCACTGCCAAAGCTTCGATTTGGTGTCGTTTATCTTTTTTCGACGATGGTGTTTAGGATTCCCGTTGGGAGTGAAGGTTGGGGAGGGAGTGAGGGTGGTGGCGTTCTCTAAACTGGAGAGAGAGAGAGAGAGAGGGAGAGAGAGAGAGAGAGAGAGAGAGAGAGAGAGAGAGAGAGAGAGAGAATCTTTTTTTTTTCTTTTTCTTTACTTGATTTTTGTAATAAAAAAATTAAAAAAGGAAAAATATCAAAGGCAAATCCATCATTATAAAAAGTTTTAAAATTTTTGGACTAAACTCGCAACAAAACAAAACTATTGGACCATCATTGCGAACCAAACCTATTTTGGACCAAAGTTGCTAGTTTTGACATACCACAGGAACCATTCTTGCAATTTTATCTATTTTCATTTGCCTCATTTATAATTTCATTCCATCGAAAACAAACGCCCTTACAAAATACCTCAAAATCAATCTTCATTACTAACCTATAATGAAGATGAGTGCATCAACAACATCATCACAATAGATTCACTATTAACTATTAAGACATTATAAACTCAACATCAACTTTTTTGGCAGATTTCATACATCATGATAAGAGAAAACAAACTCTTTTCTCCATCAATGCTAAACTACAACAAACTTAAAAGTGTTAGAAGCCCAACACAAAGCACAACAACAAACCAAAGAGTCTACAAAAAACAAAATAAAAGAAAACCTAAAACCCTTCCCTACATCCAACCAACACAACTCTTTCTTTCAACTTTCAACTTTCAAATTTCAAATTTCAAATTTTAAATTTTAAATTTCAAAGTCTCGAATCATCTATCTTTCCTTTCCCCTCGACCCTGTTTCTTGATAAACCTACAAAACATCTCCAACAACCACAAAGATTACTTTCGATCACAAACAAAAAAAACAATAATAATATAACGAAAAAGGTGGAAGTTTTTTTTTTTTTTTTACCTGTTTCTCCTCTTCTGTAAGAGTGTTCCATAGGACTTGAATTCTTTTACGGATGACATTTTCTTGACCATGGTACAATGGTTTTAACCTGACATAATGCTCAGTGAAAAACACATCATAGCCACTTGTGTCTACAGCTTCTAACTCAGGTGAAGCTTCCCTTAATGCAAGCTGATATTGATACATATTATTATTATTATGGCTTCCATGAGAACCCACTGAAGCTTCAGATGGAATATGATAAAGAAACCCTGAAAGCTTTTCAGACCCCATTTCTACACTAACAAGATAACCATGTTCAAATCTGTTATCAATTGTCCCAGTTACTTCTCCCCCTACCTCAACAACTCGCCTTCCTAAAAAAGAAAGAAAAAAAAATCAGTATATTCTTGATTTTTTTTTTCAAGGAAAAAAGAAAATGTTTAATGGGAAAGAAATAAAGATTGAATCTTTCATGGTAACCTGACCAGAAAAGAGATTCTTGAGAGAGCCAGAGACTGAGCCATCCGTGAGCCTGTTTGTAACATCTGTTGGGAAGGAAGGGTAGTTTGGTCAAATCACACAAGTTTTACAATTTTTTCTGTGGTTAATTTCAAAAAAGAAGTTATATTTCTTGCTTTTTCCAGATTAAACCTCAAAAAAAAAAATCGCCTGAAAAAACGTTGTATTTTTTCATTTTTCCGATCTTGCCCTTTTAGTCATTTTTTTTTCTAAAAAACTGTAAAATGTGAGGGTTTTTCGAGAAAAACTAAAAAAGTTGAGGGTTTATTTGGAAGTATTTAGAAGGTTGAGTGTTTTTTTCGGAAAAATTACAAAGTTGAGGGCTTTTTCGGAAAAAATGAAAAAAAAAAAAACAAGGGTCTTTTTCAAGCAAAAAAAATTTCGAGGTTTAATCTAGAAAAAACACAAAATATAAGGTCTTTTTTTAGATCAACCCTTTTTTTCTATGTTGACATGCTATTAAATTGGTCACAATAAAAAACTCTCAAAGTTTAGTGGCAAAAGTGAAAATTTTGACACTAAGGGGCTCTTTGATACATTTAGAAGCCTCTTACTCAGACTTGGCTCCTCTGAATTGTCAACCGAGTCTGACTCAGTCAGATCTCTCTGACTCAGTCAGATCTCTTTGACTCAATCAACAACAATCAAACAGACCCTAAATTTTATATTGTGACCACTTTAACGTAACGAAATTGAAATACAATACAAAAATGACAAAAATACAGCGCCTTTTTATCAATTTTCCCCAATGATGTAAAAAATGAAGTCATAAAGTATGAAATTTATACCAGGTGGAATTATGGAGGGAGTTTTCTTGCGAAAGTAATAAACTTGTTCAAAATGATAGAGTAAAGAAAGATAATATTTTCTCAACACAAAAGACGCGTTTGTGATTGTGGGACCAAATTTGAACACAGCCATGACTTCCTTCCATCTTCGGTCACTAACAATCTGGAAATTAAAAGTTATGTCATTTTTGTGATTTATATTTTATAATAAAGAAAGAAAAGAAATGTTTTGTTTTGTGTTTGCTATAATGTTTTATTAAAAGGAATATTAATGATTATGATACCTTTTCGATTCCACCTCGTGATGTAACCTCTATAAATAGCCTGTGAAGATCTAAAGACTTCCCTCCAATGATAGGGATCCTTAAAAAAAGATAAATAACATCAAATTACATTTATAATGTTAATTACCAAAATGTTATACACTATTTGTAAGGTCAATTCAAGCTATATAGTAGTTAAGGATTGCATGGGTTTTTTCATATATACACAACTTCTTTGCTCTCAATCTAGAACACATGCTTACATATGATGTGACAAATTAAAACATGAGAAAATAGACAACAGAAAAATATAATATTTCTAGAGTTTTTGGTTTTCCAAGACTATTCACTTTCATACTCACTAAAGATAATGACAATTATAGGATTCGATGTTCATAAAACCACAGAAACTTAACAAAAACATAATATAAGACTCAAAAAGGAAACTCTAAAAAGAAACTAGCTATTAAAGATCAAGAAAAAGGCATTAGACAGAAAATGTAATGAAACATGAAGTTTATTATATCAGACCCCATTAATGTATATAGTCTACCCTACTTAATTTGAGATAAAAGATCGATGCTTTAAACATCAAAACTAATATAGGCTTTGCATTTTGACCAGACTATACATATATTAAATCGGAAGCCACGTCGCTAACTGATGGGGTAATAGGGTTTTCAAATTCTTCTAATTTTTCAGGCAATTAAACCTAATTGCGCTAAAACTTCACAGAAATATCTCAAAACACTTGAATATCAAGAGCAAAATCAAGTTCGCCTCAATTCCATACTTCATAACCCTACCAATTTGGTTTTCCCCAAATTAGAAGGCTTTCTCCATGAAAAAACCCCAACCAGACAAACACAGACACACACATAGTACGCCATCAAAGCTACAATGAAGATCAAAGATCGAATCTTGAAAATGAGTACTGGGAAAAAGGGTAAAAGTAATTCAAAGAAATCTCGAAACGAAATCAGCAAAAAATGGAATTAATAATTAAAAGGAAGTAAACAATAAACAATGTGTTGGTACTTACTTGAACTTGGTACCAAAAAGCGAGTGAAATGTCTGAAGTTTATCCAAGAAAAATTGAGGGTTTTGAGTGATTTCTTCATAAGACGCCTCTGGGGAAGGATATGAAGTCGTGGGTAAACCGTAACCATTGGTAAAGACGGCAGTTTTTGGGCCGTATGAGAGATGATGAGGGGCCGACATTTTTAATCGGATTCGGAGGTTAAACAAGATTCGATTATATGTGTAATCATACACAATAAGACTAAAAGAGGTGAAGAATTTCGATTAAATGGAAAAATTTAAACGACTGTAGATTTATTTCAGTTTTTTTCATATCACAAGAACGATGAACTCTTCTTTATTGGATACCGTGATTAATATCCACCCTTTGTCTAATAATGCCATGAAACCTACCTTCTTTAAAAAAATATTTTCTTTTAGTTTTTACATGTAAAAAATAAATTAATTTCTGTTTTTAAATTAAATATCAAACTTTGCAGAGTCAGAATTGGTTTGAGTACAGTACACTCATATACCACTTTTAAATAAAACATTAAATTTTGGAGGGTTATTGGTCAAAGCTACCCGTCTTCCGGTCTTCCCTTATATATTTAGAATATTTAAGGTTTCTTTTCCTTTATTCCGATGTAGACTTTTGATGTGTCCATATTTCTTTTTAATTTTGTTTTTTTTTTTTTCTTTATGAAAGACATGAATAGATAATATATTTGTTTTTTTTTAGTTTGGTATGCTTTTGAATGGAAATCTTCCTAAAAGAAATTAAATTTTGGTCTCATATATTAGAAAAATCATATATTTTTTTAACATATGTGAATGCTTTCCTCTTCGGTACGATTACATATATTAATAATGATTTTTCTAATCGGCTTGCATGATTGTGGAGGGATTTTTGTATAAACGAGCCATTTCATTGTTAAAATATTGATTAGAAATCAGTTTTAGATACAATTTGTGGGAAAATATCATTGTTTATCAAGAGTAGCTAGTATGCAGTGTTCATGCATTGAAGTGCTATTAGTTGCTATTTCCTATAATTAATCCATGCATTGAAGTGCTATTAGTACAACATTTTAGTGATAATTTGATGAGACTGACATACTTGACTTGTGCTTGTAGAACATGTCCTTGTCAGGAGCTATCTATTAAACAAATGTATGGTGAACGAGCGAAATTCCAAGAATGCTTTAATTCAGACTTTGAGCAATTTTATTTGGGAAAATGACTTGTAAGGGTAATGATGTTTTACCCGTATTCACATTATACCATTAATGTTTTTTTTAACAAAAAATATCATTTAAGTGTGTTTCCTGTACATATTTTACCATTGGTAACCGGATACAATAGGTATCCCGGTATTTTTTTTATTTTAAAAAAAAATATATGTGGAAAATACGTGGCTCACCCCTCTCTCAATTAAACACCCTCACCCTCAATTAAACACTCTCAAAGCACGATTTCTTCTTCACTCTTCAAGACTGTAGCAGCTTTCTCAAATCCATGGCTTCCTCCTCTACGTACACCTCTAGCACCAGATCGAAGAAAATCAAGTCAAAATCGAAACTTGATTTTGCAAATCCCTGTGATTGTGGCTACCCTTCTCGTATCTGGACTTCAACGACCAAAGATAATCCTGGAAAAGAGTTTAGGGTTTGCCCTAATTCAACGGTATGTCGGGTTTAATCTATATGTAGTAAGGTCTTTTCAATAATTTTCTTATATTTGTTTTAGGATAACCCAGAAATTAAATGCAAATTCTGGGAATGGGTTAATGAAGAAGATACAGTCAACAAGAAGAAAAGAGATGAAGTGGGAGCACAATCCTGTGAAGTAAGGGCACAATCTTGTGAAGTGAGGATTGCAATTATGGACCATGATTTCAATATTTACAAAAAGAAGACAGATGAAGAATTTGATAAGATAATTAGAAAAATTAGCAGTCTCAAAACATATGTAATTGTGTTGTTTATGTTGTTTGTAGTATCACTTTAAAGGGCATAAATGTCAAATTGTAATCGGATATTATGGTTGTTTTGCTGAATATGATTGAATGAACATGTTTTGCTGAATATGATTGAATGAACATGTTTTGCTGAATATGATTGAATGAACATGTTTTGCTTAAGTTTGAATACGATTTAATCTTAAGAACAAACAACATTGAATGAGCATTCATGCATTGTCTTATTAGGGTAATAATGTGCAGAATGTTACCCCTGTACAAACAACTTTGCAGAATTTTAACTCTTAATGTGCAGAAGGGCATAATGGTCAAAATGAAGGAATCCTAAGAGCATAATGGTCAAAAAGAATCTTATGTAAAAGCAACTTTGCAAACAACTTTGCAGAATCTTGTGTTTGAATATGATTTAATGTGAATAATGGTAAAAATAATATGGACATGTTTTGCTTAAGTTTGAATATGATTTAATCTTAAGTACAAACAACATTGAATGAGCATTCATGCATTGTCTTATTAGGGTAATAATGTGCAGAATTTTACCCCTGTACAAACAACTTTGCAGAATTTTACCTCTTAATGTGCAGAAGGGCATAATGGTCAAAATGAAGGAATCCTAAGAGCATAATGGTAAAAAAGAATCTTATGTAAAAGCAACTTTGCAAACAACTTTGCAGAATCTTGTGTTTGAATATGATTTAATGTGAATAATGGTAAAAAATAATATGAAGGGCATAATGGTCAAAAACAAGGAATCATATGTAAAAGCAACATTGAACGATGTAGATTATATTTAAAGGGTAATAACAAACAAAAGCACAGTTTTTAATGTGCATATTTACATCAAAAGACAAGCATAGTTTTTAGCAAAAGACAAGCATAGTAATTTCTGCCTTAAACAAACAAAAGCACAATTTTTAATGTGCAGATTTACATCAAAGGGAATCATTCCAGTGTAACAGGTTTATTCACACTTAAACCACATCCATCCTTGGTGATGACCACCCTCCTTAATTCCACTTCAGTGATCCTCTCTGAGTATTTCCTTTTCCTCTTCAATGGTTATGCTCTTTGTTCAACTTCAACAACGGGTTGTGCAACAGGTTCCTCAACAACAGGTCCATGAACTTGTTCCTGATCAGGTTCATGAACTTGTTCCTGATCAGGTTCAACAACAGCTTCAACAGCAGGCTCAACAGCAGCTTCAACAACTTGTTCATCAACTTGTCCCTGATCAGGTTCATCACCATCTTCAGCCAGCTATTCAATCTCAGAATCAGAATCAGATTCATACTCATTTTCAACTTCATCCATCTCTTCAATCTCAAATTCAGACTCATCCTCAACATCAGGAACATGTTTACCCTTCTTCTTTTTGGCTTTAGTACTTGGTCCTACATTAAAATTTATAATGCATTAATAGATAATACTTATATTTTTTTGTAAATGAATGATACTTGATATGAAAAAAAAAACCTTCTTTGGACAGTGGACATGTTATTTTGTTGTGTCCTGGTTCTCTACAGATGCTGCATTTTGTAATAGCCCCTTTCTTGCTAATAGTATGACGACCTTCTTTTTCTAAAGCAGCCTTCTTCCTGTTGACTTTAGGTCTGCCAGGTAATCTTTTACGTTTCGGGGGCAACATAGGTTGACCTTCCCAAGATGACCACATTTCACTTCCATTTAAAGGATTAATTGTATACTTATAGCAATTTCCAAACATTTCTGTTGTGAACCAAGTCGCCACATAGTCTTCCACATTCTCATTTAGATAACTAATAGCATCCATAGCATGTATACATGGTATACCGCTTAGTTTCCATCCTCTACATGCACATGTTCTTTGGTTCAAGTACACAACATAAACCTCATGTATTGACCTCACCTCAAATTGTTGCACTCCACTGGGAATGACATACCAATACCTATAAAATAAAGGAATATAGTATAAAATTAGTACTTGGGAATTACATGCCAATACCTATAAAATAAAGTATATATACCTTAGATGTTTCCTCTTATCCACTATTTTCTTTCTAATAGATGGACATATGGCTAGATTCCATTTCTGTCCCTTTAATCTTTTACAATACATCCTATCCATCACAAACCTCCTAATTTCCTCTAACATTGTTATAATCGACTTTTTCCTAGCATGCACAATTGCAGCATTAAAAGATTCACAAATACCATTCTCAATGGCATCACAAGACCTATCCAATACAAAAAAGCCCTAGACCAGGATTTTGGATCTCTTTCCATCAAGTGATCATATGCTTGTATATCAATCACCATAATCTCTTTCATTATACCTTCAAACCTCTGCACAGTTGTGGCCTTTGCAGCCCTCCAAAAAATCTTCCTATATGCAACACCCTTAAATTTTTTCTTGAAATTAGCATAGACGTGCCTAGCACATTGCCTATGCTCAGCATCTGGTACTCTTTCTTTAACAGCCTCAATAAGACCCTAAACATGCAAGATAAACATAACATTAAGATAAACATAACATTAAGATAAATAAAACAGTAACCAATTAAAAAACAGTTAGGATAAATACCTTGTGTTGGTCAGAAAGTAAGGTTAATCCTGCCCCATTTCCCATGTTAATGTCCTTAAGTAGTAAGTTTAGAAACCACTTCCAAGTTTCTTTGTTCTCAACTGCAACTACTGCCCAAGCAATGGGGTAAATATGGTTGTTAGCGTCTCTACCTATAGCTGAAAGAAGCTCACCTCTGCAAATACCTTTTAAAAAGCAACCATCTACACCTATAACCCTCCTGCATCCTTCAATCCAACCATCCTTTACACCTTTGATACAAACATACATCCTAGAAAAATAAATTGTGTAATCAGGCATTGTATCCGTCCCAATTTTCATTGTTGACCCTGGATTAGCTCTTAATATCTCAGCTCCATAACTCCATAATTTTTCATAATGTGTGTTCAAACTGCCTTCGATCTCATTAAGTGCAAACTTCTTTGCATTCCTGCATTGTCCAACACTAACCTTCACATTGAAAATTTCCCCAACTTTATCCCTCATTTCCCTACAACTCATTTTGGGATTTTCTAAAATATCATTAACAAAATGTTTCCCTATCCATGAGTAAGTAACAACTGACCCAAACTTGAAGGTTCTAGCACAGTTATGCTCATTACGTAAGGACTTAATTTGGAATGACTTTTCACTGCCCCATCCAAGTAGCCATAGTCTAAAAGGACATGCTGCCTTTCCTTCACTAGTTTTACGACACCTGACTAGCAACCTAGTTTTATCATTTTTTTCATACCAAAGGTTAAAACCATTTGCTACTGCATAGTTTGAGACAAGCTGTTTAAGTTCATGAGGGTTACAAAACCTCATACCAAGGATGGGTTGCATTGTATCCCATTTCTGAGTTGAGTCATGAAAAAAATAAATTGGTTGCTTCTTTGGTTCCATTATCTGAATCATCATCCTCATCAACAAAATCATCTCTAGAGACAACACTAATATAGTTAAGAAAGGGATCATCAGATTTAGTCAATGGTATTACCTCTTCATCGGGTTCATGATCAACAGATAGAGCATCAGACATGACCGAGTCTTTATCTTCATCAGAGCTTTCACTATCAACACTTTTTTCTTCCTTTTCTTCCTCTATCCAGTCAAGCACCGAATCGTTGTAGTGATCAATATATACATTAATCTTTCCTTCGTTACCATGTGCAGCATCAAGAAACCTCCTGTAGTCATCATCGTTTTTCAGTGGTGTCAACCCATTACGCATTGACTTATGCCCAAGACAGTAGTAGACAACAGGACACTTCCCCTTTGTGACATCCTCAAGAACATAAATGAACTCCTTGAAATTTAATCCACCAAAATCGACATCTGTAATTGATGTTTTTTTGATTCAGGTAGTATATAAGATGAGGAATGGTGGAAAACATTCCATTGTAATGAACATCTACTTGAATGTAAGTTGATCCTTTTGCATTAGATGGACCAGCCATGATCGATCTCAAACAAAACTTCGACTGAGAAAACCCTACACAACGATCTTGGTATGAGGGTGTTTAATCGTGCTTTGAGAGTGTTTAATTGAGGGTGAGGGTGTTTAATGGAGAGAGGGGGTGAGCCACGTATTTTCCACATAATTTTTTTTTAAATAAATAAAATACCGGGATACTTATTGTATCCGGTTACCAATGGTAAACTATGTACAGAAAACACATTTTAATGGTATTTTTTGTTAAAAAAAAACGTTAATGGTATAATGTGAACACGGGTAAAACATCATTACCCTTACAAGTCATTTTCCCATTTTATTTCTAGTTTTCTCTATAGTTCTAAGGTTATTAGATAAAAGGATTCCGGAATAACAACAATACTTTGATATTATTGTCTGGGTTATACCAATTCAATAGTGGGATAGGATTTGATTTGGATTACATGCCTAATCCAAAATCATAAACACCGAATACATTTGTGAAGTTTTGTGTTCTTGAGAGACAAAATATTTTTTATGATCAATTTTGTGTATAAGAAAGTTCAACCATTTTCTTGAAACATTCACATCCTATTTATACATGAAGGAAAAGTGGTTAAAATCGTTTTGCATCCAAAAATGGCACCTTCGATCTGGTCACCTGACTTTGCTACTGTGAATTTGTAATTGCTAGTACTATATTACCACCTTTGATCACAAAACAACAACGTTTTTTTAGCATCAACAAACAATTCAATCTAGGAGATTAATCATATCATCATGGAGGAGTAAATTATATTTCTATCATCATTAAGAGGTGTGTTTGTTGAAGGGGTTTTTTAATCGGGGATTGGATTTGCTCTTAGATTTCCCTTCATTTAGATAATCAATATTTCTATCATCAAGCTTGAAGATTGGTTAAATTCTCAAGCCTCATTTGTGCAAATCAAAACTCCTTTTTTTCTGGACGCTAGGTATTCGATAAAATATCTAAATGAGTTTTTCAAGTGTTGAAGCCATTTTATGACTCAAGAAGATGTAGAGTCTCTTCCCAGTGTGGTTTTACTTTGTGCACTCCAACCTTTTGTTGGAGTATCACATTTTACTTTGGATTTCTTCTTCTCATTTCGAGCCTCCCCTTGAGGCTTATAAGATTTGTTTGTGTGTTTATGGCATCTTCTCATACATATGCGAGCGGAACTTGGTCGTGTCCTTTTCGGGGGTTTCATTGCTGCCCGAAAGGTGAAGTTTGCGGTTAGGGGATTTCTTGTGTGATTTCTCATATCAAAAGCTTACACCTCCCTACGGATGAGCATAGCGCTGTGTTGCGAGAGGCTATTTCTTTAGACTTGGGACTGTTTATGTCCGTGGCAACAACATTGAAGGAGTTTGGTCAACGGATATGTGGAGATTGTATGAGTCTATACGCCTTAAATTGCTCGTGTCGCCACTCAAATGGTCTTGTTAAATTTAATGGTGATGTTGATGACATGAGCGGACATATTGTCGGTATTCAAAAGTCGTCACCCAATGAACCGGAGGCCGACCTCAATAAGGGGTTGGTGTTGGATGCTCAACTCCTTGATCTTGTGTTTAGGCTACCTATCACCACAGTCAAAAGCATCCCTCATAATTGTCGTATGCCTTTCTCTCAGGCTTTGAAAACAGCGCTTTCCAAGGTGGTTGCTCATCCCAGACCGTTGAAGTGTGGGTTACATTGTTAATTATTCTTAAATGTATTGTTCAGGTGTTTAGACCCAAGAATAGGCAAGAAAGTAGGTATGGGAACAGGAAGTCCTTGCAACATCGTAACATCCTAAGTGCATTAGCTACTTGGGGTACAAAAGATGGTATAGCCAAGCTTTTTAAAAACTTGGTTCACAATGCAACGTTGGAGCAACTAGGCAAAAAGAAGAGTACATTCAAGAGGATAGAAGATGGGGGCGACACCAATGTCAAAAAATGTCTTTGTAAAGTGGCAGATGGGCATTTCACGACAGTAGTGAAAGTATTATGTTCCTAGGGGGTTGCTCCATACGGAGATGCTACCACAAAGGCATTGGAGGATAAGCATCCACACAAGCCACCACTATCCATGTCGAGTATCATGTGTTCTGTACCTTTCATTGTGGTGGATATTGACAATGTCCTTGGGGGGCATTTAATCATTCCCTAAAGGAACTTCATGTGAGAGAGATGGGTTGAGAGCTCAACACATTTTAAATGCTCTTGTGGAGAAGGTTCAGCTATAGCCAAAGACCTCCTATGTGTTATTACATGTGTAGTTAATCTATGGCTAGGGGAAAATGCCCTTCGAGTTTGGCAGAATTTGTTGCCTCAGCTCCTTTTACACTGCTCTTAAAACCTGAAAAGGGAATGCGACCTATTGCAGTAGGCACTATATGGAGACGTTTGGTGTAACATCCATAAAAATTCAAGCCAATTTAAATTTTTCAAAAACAACCCAATTTCATTAAGTTGTTACAAAAAGGTTTTCAATACATTTATTATCAGAGTATTCCCAGAACCATATCATAAAACAAGAACATGAGGAGCGGTACGATCACGCCTTCGCCTTGCCACGGTCTCCTGAAGTACCTGAAACATTAAAACCACAACTGTAAGCCCGAAAGCTTAGTGAGATACCCCCAAAATACCAACCACATATACCCTACACATAAACATATCATACATAACAGAACAACCATGCACTTCGGGTCTACTATGTGACTGGTCCGCCGTACCGGGCCTTCAGTCCACCTGGTCCACCCTCCGAGTCTAGCCATATCCATCGAGTCTGCAGTGTGGTTGGTCCGCCCGCACCAGGCCTTCAACCGACATGGTCCACTCTCTAAGTCTATAGTATGACTGGTCCGCCAGCACCGGGCCTTCAGTCGGCCCGGTCCATTCTCCGAGCCTCGGCACGTCTGGTCCGCCCTCGTGGGGCCTACAGCCTATCCGGACCGCTCGCTGGGCCTTCGAAATATCCTGTCCTCCCTAGGTATGTTGGCCTATAGCACAAAGCAGAACCCGCCTCAACCCAATCCCAATCAACCAACCATGTGCGCATAAACATATAACCACATAACAATTAATCATCAATCAACCGATCTAGCAGATCACATACATAGCATACTCTAAACAGGATACCGACCTAACCGGTCGCTAATATAGCATCATCCCATGTACCAAGATACCGACCTTAACCAGGTCCCTAACATATACCATCCTAACTACTAGGATGCAAACATAGCAAAGCAATAACATAACAACAATACCCGGATTACAATCCGATAAAGGGCCGGCCTTGGTGCCTTAGACCCTGTCGATATAGTGAGGATAACTCACCTCGCAACTGCTGACTGAAAAGATAAGATCACGCTGCTCTAACTTCCGACACGAACTCCACCACTGATAATACCAAAAGACTGAACTCAATAAATACCAATAATTACCAAATGACCCCTGGAAGTCAACTGGTCAACTCTTGGTCAAAGACAAAGTCCTCAGTCAAAGTCAAACTTCCTGACTGACTCTACTCGCCAAGTCAACCCGCTGACTCCTTGAGTCACTAAGATCTGAAAACTCCCATATTGCGCCCCAAGACTCGCCGAGTCCCATGAACTCTGAGTCACTTCGTGCTCAACTCACCGAGTCGTCCCTCGACTCACCGATCCACCGCTCAACCAAAAAGGTTAGGACCTTACGACCACACTCGCCGAGTCCAAGGAAATCTTCAACAGACTCGCCGAGTTGTTCTTCCAACTCGTCGAGTTCCTGCCTATCTTCATCCAACTCGCCGAGTACACCCATGTGACTCGTCGAGTACAACTAGTTCTTAATCCATACAGTGGCTTTCCAAGCCATGCAGGGGCTCAAATCCATAGATCTACTCTTCTACAAGCTATTCCTCACGTAAAGTTGCAAACTTTATGTGAATCCAAAGAGATCTAAGCATAAAACACTCTTAAGCTAGGGCTTGGGACAAGAAGGCTTCACCAACAATTCAAAGACAGGAACTTTATGATCTTCTGGACCATCTCAAGTCCAGATCTAAGGTAGCAACCTTAGACCCAACCTCCAAACCTAAAATAACTCTAGAAATGCCACAAAACTCAAGCAACAAAGGATCTAGATGCAAAGGACCTCAAGCAACAGATTATTACCTCAAATGAAAGCTCCAGCTGAAGAATGAACCAAATCTTTGCAAAGCCCCTTGCTCCAACCTTCTTAATCTTCAAAGATCTCTTCACCAAGCACTTATCAACGTTCCGAATGCTCTCCAATGCACTCACAAACGGATTTAGGGTTTCTGGACTTCAAAAGGGGCTAAGGAGACGGAGGGGATGACATTAAGTCCTTTAAATAGGTTGCAGCCCCGAAAATTAGGGTTTTTCTCTCTTCAGCACCAACTCACCGAGTCCAGCCTTTGACTCGCCGAGTTGGTCACTTAACACATGACCAGTTTTGCGACCCGACTCACCGAGTCGATCTTCCATATTTACACTAAGCACCCTGAACTTTGCTCTTCTGAACTCGGGGTGTTACATTTGGTTTCCAAGTTGGCTATGAAAGGTGTTGGTAAAGAAATGACCAAGTATCTCAATGATTTTTAGTTCAGGTTCGGGATGTCGTGTG